ATTGCTGGATTGCATAAACATAGAAAAAAAAAAAAAAAAAAAAAGGCATATATCGGACAAAAATATAAGTAAATTAAAAACTTATAAATGTTTAAGAAATTACAAGTTGACTCACATTTGGACCAACAGTGTAAATCTCATGAACCAAATCTTCGATGCAGATAATACCAAATTTCCCCAAATTTTGTTCAATGATAGCATTGTCGGTTATAGGGATACGTTGCTTGTTTACTTTCGCATAACCACGTTTGTAAATAAGTTCACTGACAGACCTTTCAGTTAGAATATCAATATTAAAGAGCGTATTCTTTAGTTAAATTCACAATATATTAATTGTATTAAAGTAATACAAACTTTAAATTTGGTTCACCATATGCAACATAGGGTGTAACCAATTGGAGCATTTGTTTTGTTGCCTTAGTTAATCGAACAAATACACCGTTATTGATTTGGAGAAGACGCAAAAGTTGAAGAATCTTACGGGGTTTAGGTGGAATATGGTTGATACTAATTTTATAAATTATTTATGTTAATAATTTACACGATAATGTATTAATATTCAACTTTCTAACGTTTTAATAGTAAAAGTACTTTTTACCCCTTGATTCGAATAACAAAAGCCAATTTTGGCTGATCATAAGAATTTTTTTTGTATGGTCGGTCGAGAAATGATCGATCATTAAAAGTCATTCCTCACGCCATCCATCGCTCGTATTATTTTCGCTCCACGTTATTCATGCAAATAACCTTTATGTTCAGACTAATCAACGCGAATAAAATGAATATTCATTAAATAATTTTAAGAATTTCCAATTTTAAATACAAAATCCAAATAACTTATAATAATATTGTCTTTATTATTTTCCATGTTAATTCCGTAATATTTATGAAGTTAACATCAGAATATAGTTACACCTGACGCTGTACCTGTCTGAAATTAGCACTTGAAATTAGATCTTGCAGTTTTACGAATTTTTCATAATAAAGTTTATTACTGTTTTTTTTTGGACGATTTTAACGTTCACCGGAGATGAAATTCAGCGGGTGTTGTTTCTCAAAAGCTGCTTTGATAATCGGTATTTGGTATATGAGTGCTGCCACTGGGTGAATTATTCACCTCCTTAAGTACAAAAGAAAACCCTGGTCATATTAATATATTAGAGTTAAATTTAGAGTTAGCCTAAAGTAAAATTGCGAAAGAACCATTTTTGCTTATATTATACTGTTATATGACAGGTTATCTTAGTAAAATTTGAGATATTAGCAGTTTTAAATTTTGTTATAGGGTATGAATAATTCACCTGGGTAAGGAATAAATATACTCTAATTTTTATTTATTAAAAAATTTTGATTAAAATTTTAATTATATATTACATATCCTTTATATATATATTTTGTTACAATATAATTATAACCTAACATCCTGTAAATCTTTAAAAAATAATTATACTATAGTATAGAAAATATATTTTGTATAAAATATAAGTTTCTGGTACTTTTGATTTAAATAATAAAAGCAGGATTATCAAAAAATAAAAAATAAAAATAACTATACTATAGGGGTGATCCATAATTTATATAAACATATAATAGCAAACCCTAGATACCATATATAGTAAAAATATTGTGAAATAAAAGTTATACATATGTATGTATGTATATACTAGCATTTTTAAGAATAAGTAATACAGTATGTACAACAATGCAAATTAGAACTGACGTATAGAAATCAAGATAGTACATATATATGGCTTGTAAAAAAAAATTCAAATTACTTTTCTTACTAATCCAAATATAAACCTAATCCCAATCTTAAAATTTTCTTTATATTAATCATACTTACTATTAAGGCTTGGTATAATTTTTACATGTTCACCCTATTCTGTACTTATTTTTATTAAATACTAGCAAAAATTAAAAATTTTGACATATTTGAACAATATAATTCA